GAAGATTTTTGTTTTTTTTTTTTTTTTTTTTTTTTTTTATTTTTTTTTTTAAATAAAAGATCCACAACTGTCACATAGTTGCAGTGAAATTGCAGAAGATGGCAACACTGGAATAGCCACCTTTAGGTCATGTACAAGCATTCATTCCTGGCGTTAGAAAATTTGTATTGCTAAACACGATTTTAGGAGAGGGAGCAGTACAGGTATGCAGCCTGCAACCATTCCCTCTCCCCTGTTTCTTGCGCCTTCCTGAGACCAGGCTGATTCTAGTCTGGATAAAGCATGGTGTGTGCAGTGGCTGCTCTAGGTCTCCCATTCCTGGGTCCTCCTTGACCATTCCTCACACCAGGGAGTCCTCACACTGGACACAGCCATTTTTGTTTTGGGAGCAGAATTGGGAGAGGTGCAGTTCTCCTGCTAGAAGCATAATGCTTGTATGTGGCAAGAGAAAATGTGTGTTCATGCACACTTACAAGTGAAAAGATACTCTGGCTTTTGCTGCAAGAAATCTCTGACCAAAATGAAATCTTGTGTACATCTCCAACAGGAAAAGATAAAATTGATCCTTAGGAGTTCATAAGTAAAATCATTGTTCTACATTTCATTTATTTGCAATTTCTTTTTGAAGCTTTGACCAAGATTTAGCATTTTTATCTAGTTTTTCACAAAATGTGGGGGTCCTCATTAACTGTAGCAGAAGATATATCATAGTAAGCATTGCCAAGGTTAAGTTGTAGCTTGTGGTTTTAAGCTGCAGCTTACATTGTTGTTGAAGTATGGTTTGACTGCTGTAGCAGAACTTGATACTTTTGAGGAGATATAATTATTTGGGGGAATACTCCATTACTATTTTATATGGTGCAACATATGTTTTCTATCTCCCCATCCCTGCCCTCCCCCAACAAGATAAGGTTGATAATTCTTAGAAGAACTATAGTTTTGGAGGCTGCAGACCCACATGAAAAGCCTGTCCATTGTGAACAGCCTAACACTGGCAGCAGGACTAGACCCCTACTGCACTTGAGCATCGCTCAGACAGTCAAACTTTTCATCCCCTTTCATAATTACTAATACATCAACACAGGGCCAAAAACAATGGGACCAGCAGTGAGAAAGTGGTTGGGTTTTTATTCTACATTAGGTTAAAATTAGCACATTTTGGATAGAAACTTAAGTTTCGTGCGACACACATGGTTCCATTACTTGCATTAGAAGTAGTCTAAGGAAACCATTGCCTACAAGTCCTGATAAGGTATATGTGTATTGGTTTTGTTTAGTGTTAATACAACAGCTAGGGGATGAGTTGAGGGAAAACAAAATTAGTGATGCTTTCCACCCACAAGCCAATCTCTAACCACTTGCTCGTGAAAGCAGTACCTCACTCACAGTAGATCTTCCTAACATGGTCTTCCCTCTTCTTTCTTTTAGACTGTGCTGAAGGGTAGCAACATTAAAAATGTTGAAATTCAAATGGTTGTCCTTAGATCTCAGAATCAAATGCCTAGAAAAGAAGGATGACAGTTCACACCTTTCTGAATTGTCCATAGATTTTATCTAGACACAGGCAGTTCTAAATTCATTTGTGGCATCTTTTTTAAATGATCTTTGTAATCATATGTTCTCTTTTCTTGCATTTAGTTCTGGAGCAGTATATGAAAATCCTCCACAGAAAATGCCCATTGTCAGTACAGTTTTCTCCTTTATACATTTACTGTACTAGTTGAAAGAGTTCTGAGAATTCACACATTCTGAACAGCTTATAGTGATGGAGTCCCTTGAAATGATAGAGAATCTAAAAAACTTGAAGGGTTTATCTACCTACTTGTATGCATTGACCAAATATTATATTGTCTTTTGAGGCTACCTTAGTGCTTTGAAATGGAATCAATAGATTGAATATGCTGTAGATTCTAAGAATCTAAATACCTAGATTCTTATCCAAGTCCGGTTGTGGGGAAGGAAGGAATGAACCATAATGTAATCATATTTCTCTAACTTTCTCTTTTGGCATTGAGATGCCTAAACTTAAAGACACTGGTATATCTTTCACAGGTCCTCTCTTCATCACATTTACCATGACTTTACTTTTACTCCCTTTTCCTCCTACATGAGATACTGTTCAACACAATCTGGAAAACCTTACAATGGTTTGTTTTCCTGTGCATACTGCAAGCTTGCCACCTCTCCATAACAACTTAATGGTATTTATGAGAAGGTCACCTAAGCATCAACTTCTGTTTCCACATTCTGCATTTATCCATGCTTTACTGCTCTTTGTGATCAGTAGTGTCTAGGGGGCCTGGTTGGGACTACAATCTGCCCTACTGCAATTTCATAAAGAAGGGAAGTCTACTGCTGCAAACAGTGCTTGTAATTGTTCAAAAGGGGTAACTGGTTATACCTAGAGTTGAGGAACTACTGTTCTTAAAAGACCTGTTAAATTAGTGGAGTAATACAGAATAATGAATGGTACAGATGAGGTAAATTGAGCACTTCTGTTCATGTTTTCTTAATACAGCAGGGAGGGGATATTCAATAGAATCAAGAGGAAACCAAATTTAATGCTGATAAAATGAAAATAAAATGAAGAAGTATGGAAGTCATTGTCACAGAGTGTCATTGAGGTTAAGAGTTTGACAAGATTCAAAAGAAGGCTTTTATGTAGCTCACAGTAATGTCTAGCTTGTTATAGTAAAGTTTAATAATACACAAGTATTTCAAAATAGATAAAAGGCCTCATGCTTCAAAGCATAAGCCAACTTCTAGTTAATGGAAGTCACTGTGGAGCTTTTCTTTTATCTAGGTTATCGTATATTGCACGTTCTTCCAAAACCTCTGGAACCAATCAATGTCAGCAAGTGACTACTGAAGTATAGTCATGGACTACAGGTCTCCTGTATGGCAGTTCCTTTGTCTCTGTATTCCTAGCTCCCCATAGATAAGGGCAGGCTTTTGTAGGGGGAGCAGGGAGAGGGGTAGGCTAGGGGAGATTAGATTGGGTTCAAAATGGCCACCCAATCTAAGGTAAGTCAGGTTTGGGGGGAAAGGGTCAGTAGGGGCATTGTGGGGAGGGCAGAGGCAAGCAGGCTTGTGGCGGGGTTTGGGAGTCTGTGGGGGATGCAGGCACAGATGGTATCTGCAAGAGCAATTTCTGGGATCAGGGATGTAAGTGGCATATGCGGAGCAGGTGGAATCTGGCAGGGGAATGTTGGGGTCCAAAAGGGTTTTCTGGGATCAGGATGGGTTATAGGGTCTGGGTGGGGTTTGGGGGTGACCAGGGGCTATTTTTAGCCTCCCAATCCCTCCAGAAAACTTACACCCCCATCTCTTCCACTCCTCTCCCCAGTGGGATTTACTTGCTCAGCTCCCAGCAGCAGTGAACACTGATAAAAAGCAGTTACACCTGGAGTGGCATGCAGGTTGGGGTATAGGAGGAGGTAACTGGTCCATGGGGGAGTAGTAGGGGATTGGGGGCAGGGGGTGATCAAAATAGATCATTGCCAGGCAGGGGAGTGTGAAAAATGCAACTCTGTGGCTGGGCTGGCATCTGGGCTTTCTCAGCCCCAGGACTGTGTAGGTAACTGTACAGAAGTTCCATGCCCCAGTTTAACCTAGTTCGGGTTTAGATTCATTTCCAATCACCGAAACTGAGTCTGGGTGTAAGATCCACACTGGGGTGAACTAAGTTACATCAGGTAGTTATTTTGAATCCTATGTAACCTCCTCCTAACCACCTCAAATGTCTGCACTTAGCTGAAATGTGATTTATTTGGTAATATAAAATAAGATAATCTGGGCGTTGGCAGGCAGTTTCTTCTTTTAGTTCTTTAATGTGTGATGAGAACAAATCTAATGGACTAGTATATCCCGTGGTCCTCAATATAACTGATGAGTTAATTTTGATTAGAATTTGGCCAAAATTGACATTTTTGGAAATTGGAAACTGTTCCCTTTGTGCTCTGTAGTGCATTTGGCAAGAAATGTTTTGTCCCTTTGTGTTATCAGACTTTCTCTTTTATTACTGTTTTAATGTTACAATCCATTTTAAAAACTCAGTTCAACATCTTTACAACTAAATTGAAACATTCTTCCTCATAACTGAAGTCACTGGTAATTTGAGGATTTTTTTCTGGTGGAGTTTCCTGGTGGAGTTATAACATGTGGCATGACAAAGGGGGTTGGTGGAGTTGAGTTGCTTGCAAAAGTATGGCATTAATGCACAAGTAAAAAAATGTTGGCCATTCTTTTCAGCCTGGGATATGGAGCTGACCTCACAGTCAGAGGTTGGATCACAACCTTTTCCTTGGGCTTAGTTCATTCTTCTAACACAAAACAAAGCTATTCTCATGGCCAAAGCAGACAGCAGAGGCCCAGAGAATCCTTTTTACACCTCTTCCTCTAACTCTGCTGCAAATTGTCACAAGCACCAGCCTACTTCCTGTTGTTCCCCTTAGCCACTCAGGATACATGTACACAGCACAGTGCAGTACGGTACAGAAATATCCAAGCTATCATGGAGCAAGCCAGCTAAGGTTCTAGTTGCAGTATAGCTGTGTTAATATGACAGTGTGCCATGCTAGAAGGCAGTCCAGACATCACCCAGGAGTAATTAGTCTGAGCTGAGTGCCACATTAATAGTTTTTCTAGTACCAGAGCTAACTGTGAATGAACCTACTGTGTTGTGCCATGTAGACATCCTTTATTGGCTCTTATGACTACTTGACCAGTCTCAGTTGGGAAGTAACTAAGCCTGTGCGAAGCGGCTAGTATTCACTTTGGATTTGGATTTGGATTTGGCCAATTTGGGGGACAGTGATTCGATTTGGTGATTCAAATCACTGTCCTGATTCGATTTGGCCAGATCTGATTCGGAGATTCAGCTGCTCCAAACCAGGCAGGCCCATCCCCTGCCCCTCTTCCAGCTTGACAATGGCTGCCCCACCTGCCCTAGCTCCTGGCACTTGTTAAAAAATAAAGCCCTGGCTCAGCAGGTGCTCCTGGTTGGGGGGCAATCCCTGCTGCCCCCCACTACTCCACACAGCATGGGGGGCTCTGCAGTAGCCCCCACTCCACTGCTCCCCCAGCACCATGCATGGGTGCCCTGCCCAGACCAGCTCTGGCCCTTAAAGAAAAAAAAAAAGGAAAAACCCCCTGAACTTACTCCTGCTGGTGGGGGTGGTCCCTGCTGCCCTGGGGCTTTTCTTGGCTTTTTTTTTTCCTTAAAGGGCTAGAGCTGGCCCAGGCAGGGCTCCCATGGTGGAGCTGGGGGAGCAGGGGGCGTTGGGGTGATTGTGCAGAACCCCCCCATGCTGTGGGGGGCAGCAGCGATAGCCCCCTGCCCAGCAGCACCCAGTGAGCTTTTTATAATGTAGTGGGAGCTGGCGTGGGTGGGGACAGCCATGGGGGGGCTGGGGAAGTGGGAGAGGTTGGGGGGGCTGGCAGGGGTCCCCCCATGGTTCCATCCCCCAGGGCCCCCTTCCCCGCCTGTAGTACTTACCAGCTTGGAGTCAGCTGCAGCTGCCCGAATCATCAAAGCTCTCCAAATATTTTCCGAAGATTCTGGGAGCCTTGAATCAATTCGGACCTTTAAATCGGTCCCCTGATGCGATTCGGGTTTGGAGATTCAGCCACCAAATTGGGCCAAATCTCCTCCAAATTGAATTGCCACCTGAAGCTTCGCACAGCCCTAGAAGTAACTATCAATGAGGCTAGATCTAATTCCCATTAAAAACCTAGTCACTCTGGCATAGCTTGTCCAATAGCTCTCCCAACTATACAGTTGGTCCAATAAAAGTTATCAGAAAAAATCCTTGCCTCTGAGATAATCATCATCGATAGCAAGGCTTTCAGCTTATGGCTGTAATATCAGTCTAGAAAATCATTCTTTCTTTAGGTAACACCAAAAAAGAGACTTCCCTGTGGTCATGATGTTCTTGCAATTTCACTTTTATCATCCTATTTTCCTCTGACACCTATGTTTAACAAATGGGATATTTTCCTCTCCTGTTTTTCCTTCTGCTTAGTAAATTGTAGGAATAAAAGTATAGGTAGCCATGAGGCAGCTGAATATAAGGTACATAATCCAATAATACTTAGACCAGGGCCCTTGAGCAATAAATGGGTCTTCCATTTATCACCTGCAGCTCTTCATAGAAAAAGTTATCATTTTGTTTTTACTACATGCTTTGGGTTTGTCTTTCCTGAAGCCTTGAATAATTCAATATATGCACAATCTAACTCTCTCGCTGTTAACTAATGATTTTTTGAACTAGGGTGTATTTGCCAGAATTCACTTCCAGGCATGTATGTTGTTGCTTTTTAGGTAAAACTAACTGGTCACATTCCTCCTGAACCAGTCAGGACCAAGTGCCACTGGCCTGATCAGAAACAGATGTAGTCCCACTGAAGTCAGTTGGATGCTTCACATCCTTCATATTAGACTTGTACATCGAATATCAGGCATTAAATAGCATATTCAGTGAAAAAATGTGGAATGGGTATTCTGTTGACATGAACCAATAGTATTCAGAAGAGCAGAGTTCATGGTCTGTTTGGTTTTTACATTTTTTCCAAGTAAGTTTGCCAAAATTTAAAAGAAAATGTTGAGGTTTTAAAGTTATAAGGAAGTCAAAATAGTGAAGTTAGTGACTCCCTATTTTCAGTACTGAGGTATGTTTCTGACAGGAAATACAATGAGAATGAAAGCAAGCCAAAATGAGTTTCTAAAATCCATCCCATAGCAACTTAAAACTATTAATAATTATTTAATACAATTATATACAACAGTAGTTCTCAGCCTTTACCTAATTCACCAGTATGGTGTTCTGGTTTTACAGTTAGTGGTGGCAGAGCAGGTAAAATATCCTGTTATAGACCTAAGGCAGGGGTGGGCAATTATTTTGGGCAGAGGGCCGCTTAATGAGTTTTGGCAAGCCATCAAGAGCCGCATGACAGGGAGCCAGGGAAAGATAAATATTAATTTCCTAAAATTTTTAGGAGGCCCGCGGGCCAGATAGAATGGTCTGGCGGGCCGCATCTTGCCCAACCCTGACCTAAGGGCATAAATTCAAACTACATGCTAGATTGTTTGAGGGCTGCCCCCATTCTACCCAGCTATCTTTTCATTTGGGCTAGGGAGTCGGTCATCATGTGTTATCCTACCTATATCTCTCCCTCATGTGCCAGACTTCAGAAAGTGGCTTGCTTTAACCTTTCTAGCCCAATGAGTAGAGATCTACCAAACTCGAGGCAGCTGTCTGATTTCACAAATAGATCCTAGGGCCATCCGTCATTTTCAAGAGCTTATTGTGGCTAGGGCCATTGCCACACCTCTGGCTGAGGGGCCCTGGTGGCCCCACTTCTCACTACTGATTGGCTGTAAGGGCTGTCAGCCCCTGCCCCTTGCCACAGGTTGGTTGTGAGGGCTGTCTGTCATGCAGCCTTGACCCTCACCACCATCTTGGGCTCCCCTGTGTGGCAGCAGCCCCCCTCCCATCTTACCCTCTGCTGGTGGGCTGCATGGCTGGGCCACAGCACTGTGAGGACTGCTGGATACCTCTGGCGAATCAGCATTTTATTGTCTGTAAGTTTTTTGTTGTGGGGGTGGTTATTGTGCAAGTCATGGATATTGCCTGCTTTTGCAGACAATGCTGGATTTCGGGTTTTCTGCAAAATCCATGAAATCATAATGTTGGTAGGTGCCTACCAAATAGCCTCTAGGCTCAAGGAGATGTTTGAATTTTGCACTACTCTAGCTTCCTTTGTTTAAGTGAAGGTGTAAGTTGCAGTGATACTAGTGAGCCAGCCAAGCCTTAAATATTTAACTTAATGAAAATTGCTGTGGATTTCAGAGAATTACACTAAGACTAGGGACAGACATTCAAAAAGTCTGAGCCTGAATTGATTTAATCTTTGCAGGTTAGCCTAACCTACAAGGCTTGAACCGATTTGGAGCTGGATAGACATTCCCTTTTCACTCCAGAAATGCAGGCACAGGGCTGCAGTCACTCAGGCTAGAAGCCAGGGGGCACTACAGCATCCCTCCTTTGCCTTCCACACAATAGTGAGCTGTGGTGGCCCGGCCCCAGCAGGACACTCTGATTAGCCTGATACTACATTCAGCCGGGTTTATCTCAAACCAGTTCCCTGATTTATGTTCCCTGTTCTATGTGCACTGGACATCTGTTCTGTTACAGGTTTGAACCAGTTTCTGATCACTTAAACAGGTGTCTTTCCCTAGCCTAAGTGAATGTCTTTCCCTAGCCTAAGTGAATACATGATTCTGTTAACTTATTTTCTCATATGTACAGATTGTGACATTTAAATTCCCCATAATCATTGGACTTTGTGAATGAAAATGCAAACTTCAGCCTCACACACCAGGACTTGTGTCTTCTCCTAAGTCTCACTTGTATCCATTACTGAAGTTGGTGGGTGGAGCAGATTCTTTGTATTCTTTGTGGTATCTAGTGGATCTGTATGCTTGAAGGCTTGCAGGTCTTGCATCCCTTCTTAGATTGCTTCCTCAGTGGAGCCCTCTTGTGAAGTATTGCTATGTTAGGCACCTCACATAGGTTCTCAGCATCATAGAAAATCAAATCTTTGGAGCGTATGTTGAAAAAGAAGGTACTTCTTGGACTGTGGTGTAAACTAGAATAGTTCTATTGAGATGGATGTAACTACAATATTACCACCTGGTGAGGAATGTTCACCCTTTTTCCTTGTTCCTAACAAGAAATATCATCTGAAGATGTCCAGAACGTTTAGAATTTGTGCCAGTAGTAGGCTTATTTTGAGTTGCGTCAAGATTACCTCTACTAACAGTGCCAGTCCTTGCTATATATAGACCTATATGGGCAGAGGGCTTTGATACTGTGCTTATGCCTACTGGTGATTTTTTTTTTCCCCCTAGAAATGCACGTTTTATTTTATTTTTTATTTTCTTGTGGGGGAGGGGGAGGGTTGGTGTGTGTAACTGAGCCCCTAGATAACATTTTATTTTTATTTATTTTGTTCTTGTCCTTTAGGTGAAAAGCTCATGAGATTTGGCTATCCAGAAATTCACTTTGATATGAACTTGTCCTACGAGAAGGAGGCTGAGCTGATGCAGTCTCACATGATGGACCAAGCCATCAACAATGCAATCACCTACCTTGGAGCTGAGGCACTTCACCCCCTGATGCAACACACACCAAGCACAATTGCTGAGGTGGCCCCAGTCATCAGCTCACCTTATGCTCAGGTCTATCATCCTAGTAGGATAGAAAGGCCCACTAGCCGGGAAACAGCTGACAGTCATGAAAACAACATGGATGGCCCTATCTCCCTCATCAGACCAAAGAGTCGACCCCAGGAAAGAGAGGGATCCCCCAGCAATAGCTGCCCAGATTCTACTGACTCAGAAAGCAGCCATGAAGATCGCCAGTCCTACCAAGGAAATTCTGCCTTAAACCCCAAGAGGAAGCAAAGCCCAGCTTATATGAAGGAGGATACCAAGGCTTTGGATGCCACAAAAGCTTCAAAGGGCTCTTTAAAGGATATCTATAAGGTCTTCAATGGAGAAGGGGAGCAGATTAGGGCCTTCAAGTGTGAGCACTGTCGAGTTCTTTTCCTAGATCATGTCATGTACACCATCCATATGGGTTGCCATGGCTATCGGGACCCATTAGAATGCAACATCTGTGGCTATCGAAGCCAGGACCGCTACGAGTTCTCATCGCACATTGTTCGAGGAGAGCACACATTCCACTAGGCCTTGTCATCCAAAGGGGAATCTTATGAAGTAGAAAAACTGCACATGAAGAAATACTGCACTTACAATCCCACTTTTCCTCAGATGTTGACACACCTTTTGTTGTTGTTGTTGTTGTTGTTGCTGTTGTTTATTATTAACCTTATTTTATGGACCCAACCTCAGTCACTCTGCCCAGTTTAAGAATGGAAAGAAGGAAAACAAGGGATGAAAGAGTTGCTTCTGTTGCTGTCACTTTTGTTTTGGTGGCCTGTCTGATGTTTTCAGTGGGAATTGAAAGGCAGTCCATTTCTGTCACAATTAGTTGTATATCACATCCTATTTTGGGCACTGCTTAACCCTAATAGGTGCTTTAAAGTCAAAAGGAGTCGCCACTCGTTTGTAGATTAACAATTTCAGGCAAATAGGTAGAAACATTTCAGAGGAAAGCTCATTCAACTGTATAGATATGGTGGGGGTTGGGGAAGGGAGGAGTGGGGAATTTTATTCTGCAGAATGAACAATTATTTTTAAAGTAAAACTGGTTTACTCTGGGGATATAGAAGCATGAATCAAAGTCAATATTCCTTGCAAAATTACTTCCTAAGGTTGGCTGTTTTCATGGGTTCAGTGTTTACTGCCCCTCTGGAATGTATAAATTATGTATGTGTAACACTGTACCACATAACAGCAGTTTAGTTTCATAAGTCTTAGGGACCTCCTGCAGTAAGTTTGAGGACCTGTGTTTTTTATTTTACTTATGAAGCACCTTTTTTTAGAATTGCTGATTTGCTGTTATTCCATAACTATGTGTTGACTCACTGGCTTCTTACAGGCTCCGTCATAGCCTTACTTAGCTAATTGCACCCTATGTTTTAAGAAACCGCGTTTAGAAATAACTGTTTTAACCTAGCTTCTAGGACAATAGGTATCCTAGGAGTCTATAAGAGCCTGTAGTTTACTCAAGAGGTTCTGCTGCTCTTTTAAAATAATTTGTTTTAAAATTACCAATGTACTAGTAGCAAAGTGTTCTTTTTATATATATATATATATATATATATATGTGTGTGTGTGTGTATATATATATATAAATAAAATAAATAAATAGATATATAGATATATATAAAATATTTTCTCATTCTGTCATCTTCAGTGTTAACCTCTCGGCAGTAAGACTTACAGCTGGGAAAACACTAGGGTCCAGATCATAAATTGGCATTAATCATCATAGTTCCCTTGACTTTGATGGAAGTAATCCACGCTACATCAAGATCTGGTCCTTGATAACCTCTTTCTCAGTAGATCTTTGGCTTACTGATTTGTGGAATCAGTGACTACCTAGTATTCTTTTCAAATCCTTAATTCCTCTTTAATTTGAGGATAGAAGCATTTGCAAATCTTGATGTATGACCTTTGCTCTAGGAGAGTGTAAAACCTGTTCGGAGAAACAGCTGTCAATATGATTTAACTTCATTTAGCACTTTGGAAAAATGGATACTTGAGGTATAGGCACTGAGGTTTGGTTTGATTTCATATTTGTGAGCTTTACTTGCTGCAGAAAAAAACAAAAAGCCAGTATAGATTTCATAGACATTAGGGCTGGAAGGGACCTTGGAAGATCATCGAGTCCAGCCCCCTGCCCAAAGGGCAGGAAGTCATCTGGGTTCATAGGATCCCAGTAAGATAAGCATCCAATTTGCTCGATTTGACTTGACTTGACTTGGTTTGATTTCCCCTGTTGTGGCTTTGGTCATCATCGTTGACGATGATGCTCAATAAAGGCAGCGTCTGGCCTTAAGCGGCCTTGCTGGCTGAGCCAGGGGCCAGGGAGAGGCTGCAGGGCCTACAGGTCACGGCTGCAGGGCCTGCTGGTATAATAATCCCATTTTGCTGCAAAACCAGACAGAGAACCATGCAAACAGGTTTTAAGATATTGTTGGGTTTTTTTCCCATTCCCAATGCAAGACAGAACCACTAGTCCAATATTCTGTAGGTTAAGTTTCCCCTGAAAAAAGTTCAACCCCAGTATGTTATATTGTCATTTAAACCCAAATAAGCTTGCATCAAACATTGTTGAAAGTGAACCACCAAAATAGAGCCTGAGCCTTAAACATTTACATGAGCGAGCAACTTCCTTCTCCTGAATAGTCTCATTGAGTTCAATGATGACTATTCACATGAGTAAAGTTACTCAAGTACTTAAGTGATTGCACGACTAGCCCATAATGAATTCCCATTTGCTCACTTGAGTCTGCATATTCTGTGTACATGCCAACTTGCTGTTCATTTGAAGGGTGCTGTTTCTTCTTATCTTCCCAGACCTGGAGCAATTGAAAGTAGGAGCTGAGTGGTATTGATTGAAATCTTTTTATGGCGACGTACTTGGCAGCTAGAAGCCCTGTTTAGAGAGGATACAGTAGATCATGGCCAGATTACCTGACTACTGCTTCCCGGCACTGAAATGCTATTAAGTAGGAGCTGGTAAAGTCTTGCAGTAGCCTATTAATTATAATACAATATGGATAGAAATGCTGCTTTGTGTAATATGAGAGCTATCAAGGCTGGGAATACAGGGACTTTAGAGAAATAGATCTAAAGACTTATTCCCAACATTGTTCTTAGCTTCCTTTTATGCCTTTTTTAGTTAGGATACAGACAAAGCTTGGGCAAAATCTTAACTGCCCATGTTCCTTCCTCCCTGAGTTGTGCCTGGCATCATCAAGGTAGCTAACACCCTGCTGATGACTTCTAAATTACTAATTTGATTCCAAGGGTAGCTGTCAAAGACCATGTACTCCCTGGTACTGATGGGAAGAGAAGGATACTGCATTTGGACAGTGAAATAAAAGAGGATCCCTTCTTGTGCTCAGTTGTACTCCATGGGGGTATGAATTAATGTTTTTTTGTGTTAAGTAAAGGATTGGGGGAATGCTGAATTCTATGACT